ATATCCCCCCCCCTGTATATACAGTTCGGTCCATATATATATATACACCCCCATATCCCCCCCCGTATATACAGTTCGGTCCATATATATATATACACCCCATATCCCCCCCCCCACCCAGTATATACAGTTCGGTCCATATATATATACACCCCCATATCCCCCCCCCCACCAGTATATACAGTTCGGTCCATATATATTTGGCACAATTTTAGTTTTTTCTCAGGTATTTCCCATCCCCCATCCCAGCTCTGGTTCTATGATGGATCTGGGCGGACAGTGCGCACTCTCCGGGGGTAATTGGAGGGGATGTACATCCACATTGGGGGAGGGTTTAGGAACTACAGCTGCTAAGAGTAGCCATCCCCTCTTTTTTAAGGGACCAAAAGTCATTTAGCAATTGAATCAAAAGCTGTTTCCTGGCCAGGTGTGGGCTACTCCTTCATTATTTCATCACCAATGAAGCAGGTAGAAGGTCCGGAGTGGATTCTCTGTGCGGGATTTACATTTGGAATCTGTTGCTGGGAACCTCCATCATGTGATCAGAGGAGCCGTCAGCATCCTAGCACTGTGCTGGGAGCGAGCAACGCATGGACATTGCTGAAACATCGGTGGCCTGCACCCTGGTCTGTGTGTTACCGGGAGTGCCGAGATCTCTTCAGTGTTATCACTTACTGTGCCGGGGGGGGATATGGAGTGCTATGGAGGTGGGGGGGGGATATGGAGTGCTGTGGAGGGGGGGGGGGATATGGAGTGCTATGGAGGTGGGGGGGGGATATGGAGTGCTATGGAGGGGGGGGGGGGGGGGTATGGAGTGCTATGGAGGTGGGGGGGGGGGGTATGGAGTGCTATGGAGGTGGGGGTGGATATAGAGTGCTATGGAGGTGGGGGGGGGGGGGGATATGGAGTGCTATGGAGGTGGATATGGAGTGCTATGGAGTGGGGGGTTGGATATGGAGGTGGGGGGGATATGGAGTGCTATGGAGGTGGGGGGGGGGGGATATGGAGTGCTATGGAGGTGGGGGTGGATATGGAGTGCTATGGAGGTGGGGGGGGGGGATATGGAGTGCTATGGAGGTGGATATGGAGTGCTATGGAGGTGGGGGGGGGATATGGAGTGCTATGGAGGGGGGGGGGATATGGAGTGCTATGGAGGTGGGGGGGGGATATGGAGGTGGGGGGGGATATGGAGTGCTATGGAGGTGGGGGGGATATGGAGTGCTATGGAGGTGGGGGTGGATATGGAGTGCTATGGGAGGGGGGGGGGGATATGGAGTGCTATGGAGGTGGGGGGGGGGATATGGAGTGCTATGGAGGTGGGGGTGGATATGGAGTGCTATGGAAGTGGGGGGGGATATGGAGTGCTATGGAGGTGGGGGGGGATATGGAGTGCTATGGAGGTGGGGGGGGATATGGAGTGCTATGGAGGTGGGGGGGATATGGAGTGCTACGGAGGTGGGGGGGATATGGAGTGCTATGGAGGTGGGGGGGGGATATAGTGGAGGAGGGGGGGGGATATGGAGTGCTACGGAGGTGGGGGGGATATGGAGTGCTATGGATGGTGGGGGGGGGGATATGGAGTGCTATGGAGGTGGGGGGGGATATGGAGTGCTATGGAGGTGGGGGGGGGGGATGGAGTGCTGTGGGGGGATCTGTACTGGTGAGATCTGTCTGGGGGGAGACCTGTACTGTACTGGGTCAAGCTGTACTGGGAAAGATCTGTAGTTTGGGGGGATCTATCTGGTAGGGAGGGGGTGGATCTGTATTAGTGAGATCTACACTGGAAAAGATTTGTAGTGGGTAGATTTGTACTGGGGGAGATCTGTCTGGGGGGGGGGGGGGGATCTTTCTGGGAAGTGATCTGTACTGGGGGAGACCTCTACTGGGGGAGATCTGTATAATGAAGATCTGTACGGGGGGAGATCTGTCTCGGGGGAGATCTGTACTGGGGGGAGATCTGTCTGGGGGAAGATCTGTCTGGGGGGAGATCTGTACTGGGGGGGAGATCTGTACTGGGGGGAGATCTGTACTGGGGGAGATCTGTCTGGGGGGAGATCTGTCTGGGGGGAGATCTGTCTGGGGGGAGATCTGTACTGGGGGAGATCTGTACTGGGGGGAGATCTGTACTTGGGGAGATCTGTCTGGGGGAGATCTGTACTGTACTGAAGATGAGCTGTACTGGGAAAGATCTGTAGTTGGGGGGATCTATCTGGGGGGGGGGGATCTGTATTAGAGGGACCTGTACTGGAGAAGATTTGTAGTGGGGAGCTCTGTTCTGGGGAGAGATCGGTACCTGGAAAGGGGGGATCTGTCTGGGGGAGATTTGTACTGAGGAGATACATACTGGGGGAGAACTGCACTAAAAAGATCCGTACCGGGGGGAGGGGGAGATCTGTCCTGGGGGAGAGAACTCTGCTGGGAGAGATCTGTAAAATGAAGATATGTACTGGGGGAGATCTGTATTGGGAAGGGGGGGGGGGGGGTGCATAATTGTGGCTTAGAGTGGGAGGTCTACTGACCTGTGAATTATGCTTTCCAGAACCCTGCGCTCTGCACATTATATACTCCCGTCCCCCCGCGCTCTGCACATTATATACTCCCGCCCCCTGCGCTCTGCACATTATATACTCCCGTCCCCCCCTGCACATTATATACTCCCGCCCCCTGCACTCTGCACATTATATACTCCCGCCCCCTGCACATTATATACTCCCGCCCCCTGCACATTATATACTCCCGTCCCCTGCGCTCTGCACATTATATACTCCCGCCCCCTGCACTCTGCACATTATATACTCCCCACCCCCTGCACATTATATACTCCTGCCCCCTGCACATTATATATACTCCCCCCCCCCCTGCGCTCTGCACATTATATACTCCCGTCCCCTGCGCTCTGCACATTATATACTCCCGTCTCCTGCACTCTGCACATTATATACTCCCGCCCCCTGCACATTTATATACTCCCGCCCCCTGCGCTCTGCACATTATATACTCCCGTCCCCTTCACATTATATACTCCCGCCCCCTGCACATTATATACTCCCGCCCCCTGCGCTCTGCACATTATATACTCCCGCCCCCTGCACATTATATACTACCGTCCCCCCTGCACATTATATACTCCCCCCCTGCGCTCTGCACATTATATACTCCCGCCCCTGCCCCTGCACATTATATACTCCCGTCCCTGCGCTCTGCACATTATATACTCCCCCCCCCCTGCACATTATATACTCCCCGTCCCCCCTGCGCTCTGCACATTATATACTCCCGCCCCCTGCACATTATATACTCCCGTCTCCTGCACTCTGCACATTATATACTCCCGCCCCCTGCACTCTGCACATTATATACTCCCGTCCCCTGCGCTCTGCACATTATATACTCCCGTCCCCCGCGCTCTGCACATTATATATACTCCCGCCCCCTGCACATTATATACTCCCGCCCCCTGCACTCTGCACATTATATACTCCCGCCCCCTGCACATTATATACTCCCGCCCCCTGCACACTTATATATATTACTACCCCCCCCCCTGCACATATATATACTCCCCCTGCGCTCTGCACATTATATACTCCCGTCCCCTGCGCTCTGCACATTATATACTCCCGCCCCCCCTGCACATTATATACTCCCGCCCCTGCTCTGCACATTATATACTCCCCTGCACCTCCTGCGCCTCTGCACATTATATACTCCCGCCCCCTGCACTCTGCACATTATATACTCCCGTCCCTGCGCTCTGCACATTATATACTCCCGCCCCCTGCACATTATATACTCCCGCCCCCTGCACATTATATACTCCCCCCCCCCTGCACATTATATACTCCCGCCCGCTGCACATTATATACTCCCCCCCTGCGCTCTGCACATTATATACTCCCCCCCTGCGCTCTGCACATTATATACTCCCGTCCCCTGCACTCTGCACATTATATACTCCCGCCCCCTGCGCTCTGCACATTATATACTCCCGTCCCTGCCCTGCACATTATATACTCCCGTCCCCCCTGCCCTGCACATTATATACTCCCGCCCCCTGCGCTCTGCACATTTATATACTCCCGCCCCCTGCACTCTGCACATTATATATACTCCCCGCCCCCTGCACATTATATACTCCCGTCCCCTGCGCTCTGCACATTATATACTCCCGCCCCCTGCGCTCTGCACATTTATATACTCCCGTCTCCTGCACTCTGCACATTATATACTCCCCTGCCCCTGCACATTATATACTCCCGCCCCCTGCACTCTGCACATTATATACTCCTGTCCCCCTGCGCTATGTACATTATATACTCCCGTCCCCCGCGCTCTGCACATTATATATGCACTCTGCACATATACTCCCGCCCCCTGCACTCTGCACATTATATACTCCCGCCCTCTGCACTCTACATATTATACTGTTTTACAGGTCATGTGATTATAGTGGAGGTAGCCCCTCCCCCACCTATGGAACAGGGGCGGGGACGGATTTGCAGCCAAGTGGAAGCTGACCTGGAGGGGATTTTTTTTTCTATCAACAAAATTGGAGCTGCGTTTTCACGCCGTCCCTCATTTCCCGCACTTGTTCCGTCCTCTCCTGGAATCTCCACAATATGTCCTTTTGAAGCTGCAACAGTTATCTCGAGTCCAGCTTCACTTCCTTCCTACAAAACTCCAATCATCATCATTACTCTTTCTCTCCTGTTCTGTACTCTCATTGGCCCACTTCTCATGGCATTCAGACTTTTCTTTTTTTACTTGAATAATTTTTTTCTCTTTGCATGATCTTTAGGGCTGGCCTCTGTCACTGCTCTTCCAGAGCATTATATGAAAGAACGAATCCTTTTAGACGTGCATGCTCCTTCCAGCGGGTGCTGCAGACTTGAGCAGTGCTTGATTACAATATATAAGTCCCTCCTGCACACGGGATGTTTTTATAGTGGCTGTTTTTGGCTTTTGATGTTTTTTTCTACAACCACTAATCCCCCCAGCATGTTCTCCTCCGTGTCCGTGCACACCAGAGGCGGACTGACAACTCATGGGGCCCCCAGGCAATAGGGGATCATGGGGCCCCCTGTGTCATTGCCCAAACTCAAAAAAGCCTATGAAAAAGGTACCAGGGACATCTCATGGGGCCCCCTACTGACCCCGGGCCCTCAGGCAGTGCCCGAGTTTCCAAATGGTCAGTCCGCCCCTGGTGGCAGGGACGTTTATTGGCTGGAAAAAAAAAAAAAACCCAGAACTAGGTGGTTTCTAGAGGAAAAATGCTCTAACCATGAAAAAACGCGGCAAATCTGTATTTTTGGAAGTTTTTTTGACCAAAAAATAAATTTTATTTTGGTAAAGAAAAAAAGCTAAAAAAAACGCTAAAAATGCTAATGTGGAAAAATGTGGGAAAACACAAAAAAACCCTCTAAACAACACAAACACGAAAAAAAACGCGGCTAAATGCCGCTAACCGCCAATACAAAAACGCTAAAAAGCTCCGGGTTTTAACGTGACTTTACACAGCTAACATTACCAGCGTTATGAAAACGCCCCCCCAGTGTGTATGGAGCCTTATGCAGGCCAGAAATGGGTTGATTTTGAACAACTTTTCGTCCAAAAAATCGAAAACGTCGTTCGCTCGGTAATCCGACGGCGCCATTAACGATTTCGAAAATCAACCGACCGAGTCATAAAGTCCCCCCCATATAACAGGTGAAACTTCTGTTCCTTCCAGGTCACGGCTCACGCGCAGATTCTTTTCGAAAAAAAAACCGATCGTACGATTTGACCATGATTGAGGTGAACAATCGGTAATTTTTTTACAAATTTTCCAACATGCCGGATCACCGAAAAGGGGAGGAACCATGAAAATCGGTCGGTGCTATTGACCCCACTAACAGAGAAAAAATCAGCCGATTATTCTTAGGTCCAAAAACGAAAAATCAGTTGAATTTTGACCCATGTATGGCCGGCATTAGAGTGATCAGCAGATTGTACAGCTAAAGTCTGCAGCACCCTTTGGCCAAATGGAAGGAGCATGCAGGTCTAAAGGGATGCTGGGGTGTGTTCTTTCACATAACACAAGACGGGATGCTGTGACATTTGCAGCACCCTGATGGCCCCTTCCAGCAAACACACTTAGTGATGTCATCACCGGGTATCAAAATTATTTGATTGAAAAGTATTAATTGCACATTGATTGAGGGGGGGAGGGGGGGGGGGTAGCTTGAATTGAACGAACTGAAGCCAAACGATGTGAAAAACAGGATTTATTTATTTTTCATTCAATATAGAAAACAGCGTGTTGTACAGAATAAAGTGAATCTAGCTGCTATCTCCACATAAGATTCGGGGTGATCTCTATGGTCGATCTCATGTGTGTGTGGGGGGTGGGGGAGGGGGGTGTTCATAGCATCTGCAGAGAAAGTCTGACGTTGTGCTTCGATCAGGTGACATGCGCTGGAAGTCATGTGATGCGTGTCCTCGGTGGAGGAGGGGAAGCGATCAGCGGACGACATGCGAAGGGTGAAGTCGATCTCTTCCTGAGGTCTCTATGCGCCTTGTAACGCCAAAAAAAAAAAAGTCTAAATATGGCGGAGGCGTAAAAAAAAAGCATTCATCCTCACTTTACTGCAGACAGGGTGCTAGACGGGAATGGGGGGGAATGCAGACTCAGAATGGGGGCGAATAATCGCAGAGGCGGGGCGAATAATCGCAGAGGCGGGGCATATGGATGATCCGCGGATCCAGAAATACAGTCGGCTGAAGTTATGTGCTGATCAGGGATTGGCCGATGATTCCTCCCGAACCCGGCTGCTGGAGCGTTTGGATGAACACCTGAACTTTTGGCCTCCCGCCTCTAGTGGGCGCTCAGCTATTTCTATTGCTAGGGGTACCCCATACGTATTCATGTGGGGGGGGGTATCTGGGGGTCTTCCAGAGTCTGATAAGACCCCCTTGCCTGCAGACCCCCAAAACCCCCCGGCCCGGATGGTGGGGAAGTGGCCTTTGTCCTCATCAACATAGGAACAAAGTGCTTGGCGGGGCGCCCCCCCTTCCCCCCCTGGGGCACCCCCCTGACAACCCCCCTCCCCCCCCCCCCCGTTGCCGGGACTGTCGCTCACCATTGGCTAGGTGGGACTAAATTTCACTGTGTGGAATGGTCAGTTCAATGCCTGAGCGGGGCGGAGCTGAATCTTTGTCTTCCAATCAGTGTGCCCCAATCACGCGGCATCATTTTCCATAGTCAGGAAGGAATCGCCCCCGTTTCCTGCAGCTCTCCTGTAAGTTGTCTCTGGAAACCGCTGCAGTCTCAGCAGGAGGAAAACAGACAGCAGTAAAGGGAGACCGGAGTGTTTTACAGCTTACAATCGGCTGAGGGGGTCGAGTTATAAAACCTTCGTTGGACGAATGCCAGAAGCATTCATGCAAATCACCCGAAATCCCCCCCCACCCGCGTTTCTTCTAATAGATTCATTCACTATGTGGTCAGCGCCATCTGGTGGCCGAGATTCAGCATAGATTGTGAAATGCCTCAGTGAGATGTTATACTGCATGTTGGCCACTAGATGGCGCAGACATAACAGGAAATCATCTATTAGGATAAATCCGGGACATTGTGACAAGTGTGAACGAATCTCTTATGACAAGGAAAGTTCGATGAGCGGAGCCCGCTGTGCATGTAAATCAATCAGCCAGTTCTTTAAAAAAAAACACCAACCCACAAAGAGGTTTCATGGGGCGGGGACTGCGGAGGGAGGGAGTGGCAAAGGCAGGAAGGCAAGTAACAGTGGGGGGGGGGGGGGGGGGGTAATAAGAGGCTGTCACTGTGCCTTGAAGGTGTCCATTTAAGGGCTCAATCAGACTTTTTTGAAGCCTTATAGCAGTGATCTCCAGACTGCAGCCCGGGGTCCAAATGCTGCACTTTCCTTTTATCCAGCCCCGGGGGCACTATTTCATCCACTGACACCAATGATGGGGCGCTATTCCTCCCGCTGACACCAATGATGGGGCGCTATTCCTCCCACTGACACCAATGATGGGGCGCTACTCCCACTGACACCAATGATGGGGCGCTATTCCTCCCACTGACACCAATGATGGGACACTATCCTCCACTGACACCAATGATGGGGCACTATTCCTCCCACTGACCAATGATGGGGCACTATTCCTCCCACTGACACCAATGATGGGGCACTATTCCTCCCACTGACACCAATGATGGGGCACTATTCCTCCCACTGACACCAATGATGGGCACTATTCCTCCCACTGACACTAATGATGGGGCACTATTCCTCCCACTGACACCAATGATGGGGCACTATTCCTCCCACTGACACCAATGATGGGGCACTATTCCTCCCACTGACACCAATGATGGGACGCTATTTCCTTCCACTGACACCAATGATGGGGCGCTATTCCTTCCACTGACACCAATGATGGGGCACTATTCCTTCCACTGACACCAATGATGGGGCGCTATTCCCCCCACTGATACCAATGATGGATAGGGGCACTATTCCTCCCACTGACACCAATGGTGGGGCACTATTCCTCCCACTGACACCAATGATGGGGCGCTATTCCTCCCACTGACACCAATGATGGGGCGCTATTCCCCCCATTGATACCAATGATGGGTCACTATTCCTCCCACTGACACCAATGATGGGGCACTATTCCTCCCACTGACACCAATGATGGGGCGCTATTCCCCCACTGATACCAATGATGGGTCACTATTCCTCCCACTGACACCAATGATGGGGCACTATTCCCCCCACTGATACCAATGCACCAATGTTGGGGCACTATTCCTCCCACTGACACCAATGACGGGGCACTAGTCCCTCCCACTGATACACCAATGACCGGACACTATTCCTCCCACTGATACCAATGACGGGGCATTTTTTTTTCTAACGGACATCGGGCCCTTTTCTACTCCCAATGGCCACAGTCCGGCCCCCCTAATGTCTGAAGGACAGTGAGCTAGCCCTTTGCTTAGAAGGTTTGGAGACCCCGCCTTATGGCATATTATGTGGTATTTTCCCCATTATGGCTCCTGGGTGTCATGCGTTTATCTGATCTGAATGCCTCCCATTGCTTCCAATGGGCCTGAGCACACAGCCCTGTAATGGCAGCTTTGACCTGAATAGACTCTGTATGGCCAGCCGCTGCCATGCTGGTCACATGATATCCGGACGACCATGAGAGGGGAACTCATACATCTGCTCATCCAATACGGAACAGCGAAGAACATCTTTCCGGAAAATATCGCGTTCTTACACTAGAAACGTGCTGAGCATTTCCTTTCATTCTCATAAGTTAGCAGCCAATCACGTTCCTTCGGACCGGCTTCCAGAACCACCAGCAGCACCCAGGAATCGTTCTGAACCTCTTTGTGGGACGCCAACCGTACAATCTATCGGGATTATCGGGAGGAGAAGGACGCTGCGGGGGAGAGCAGCCATGGCACTGGATCCTAGACAATGAAAAAGTTATGGCGGCCGTTTGTACAAAATGCTGCCAAGCGCGCGGGGTAGGAAGCTGACTCTATGCAAGTCCCTCTCGATTGGCTAGGAGCCAGGTAGGACCGGCACCATAACCCACCATTATTGGGGCTACAGTGGCAGGGAAATGCCGAAACCGCCTCCTAGGGCATGGAAGGAGTGCACTGGAACCTCTCGGGGGGAGGAGCCCGGAGAGGACGTATTGCTCTAAAAGTTCTAGAAGGAAGCGTTATCTTCGTACTACAAAAGGGACCATATTCCCGTTTCCCCAAAAGTCCAAAAATTCCAGAGAAGAGGTTGATACAACGATACAGTCAGTTCACTTGTTTGGCTGAGGAGGATCCATCACGCTGGGGTGCCGGCTTAGCTCTTCACTCTCCGGAACCTCCAAAACTCTTCCCGCGCCAATTCAACAAGTGTTACCAGGGAAGGGGGGAGGGCTGCCTTGTCAATAAAGTCAGCCCTTTCCAAAGGGGCGGAGCTGAAAACCCAAAAATTAAAAAAAAAAAAAAAAAATAACCCAAAATAACCCAAGGAATCAGGAGGAATAAACTCAACCCAAATAAGTTTGCGATACGCTATACTAAAACAACCAAAAGAATCTAGTCCAAGATAGACCACTCTGCTGTCAAACCAGCAAAGTCCCCCCCAAAAAAAAAAACAATACCCTTTCCCGCGCAGCCCGGCCAAAGTC